TGGACTATCAATGATTTAATCACTGCAAATACCTTTTATAAGAAACAGCAATGGCAATTATCCACATGGATCTAACCTGATAGTCTACACAAAAATCAGACTGATTCCATCTGTGGAAAGAATCACTGAAGAAGCTCAAAACCAGCTGTGAAACTAGGCTGACTGTGGAACAATCAACCACTCATATGCAAGTTCAAACTGAAGCTAAAGAAAATTAAATCCAAAAGAACTAAAATCTGACCTTGAGTTTATCCTATCTGAACTTAAAAAACAATCTCAAAAATAAGTTTGAAGCCTTAAACATTAATAAATGAAGAGGAGACAAGCTGTGGGAGGATATCAAGAATATCATTCATAACGAATGCTAATGGTCAAAAGGCAACTTGGGAAGAGAAAGCCAAGTATTATGATGAAATGCACAAAAAGCTGAAGTCAGAAAATCAAAAGAGACGAACTAGCTCAGCATTTAAGCTGAAGGAACTGAAGAACAAATTCAAGTATCGTACGGTAATCCTTAAGAATACTATGGGCAGAAGAATGAATGACCCAGACAGCATCAAAAGAAGATGGAAGGAGTATAGTGAGTCACTATACTAGGAAAAAATTGGCTGACAACAGAAGAATTTCATGAAACAACTTATGATCAAGAGGCAATGGTGATTAGGGAGAAGGTCAGGCTGCTCTGAAGGAATTGATGGAATATCAACTGACATATTTCAACAAACAGATGCAGCCCTTCCTTGATGTGCCAAGAAATCTGGAGGGTAAACTATCTGATCAAGTGACTGGAAGAGATCTATATTTATTCTCATTCATAAAAAAGGTGATCCTACAACGTGGTAATTATCATACAATATCCCTAATATCACATGCAAGCAAATTCCTGCTAAAGATTATCCAAAAATGACTGTAACAGCACAACATAGAACCACCAGAAATGCAAGTTGGGTTTAGGAGAGGCCACGTGGAAGTGCCCCCAGGCCTGACCACTCCTTAAAGAAACTTGATAATGTCTAAGGCAACCAGACCAGAGACCAGGCCAGACAATGATCCTGATAAGGCTCTAGGGCTAATCACAAAGCCCATGTTGTTGCTATTGTCTGCCAGCCTGCAACTCATAGTGGCCCTATGTACAACAGTCCTAAACCCCACTCAATCCTGTGTCAACCTCCCTGTCTTCGACATACCTACTCCTATTACCCCAGTCATTGAATCAATCCACTTCATAGAGGGTCTTCCTCTCCTGCGCTGTCCCTCTACTCTCCCAAGCATGATGTCCTTCTCCAAGGACTGGTCCCTCCTTGCAACATGTCCAAAGTATGTCAGATGAAGCTTCAGAATCCTTGCCTCCATGGAGTTCAACCCTCTCTAGGATGAACCTGCTCATTTTCTTAGCAGTCCATGGTATATTCAATATTTTTCTCCAACTCCACAGCTCCAAGGCACCAATTCTCCTTTTATCATTCCTAGTCATTGTCCAGCTCTCTGATGCATAGCAAGTGATTGCAAAGAACATGGACTGTATCAGATGCACCTTAGTCTCCAGAGTGACACCAGTGCTCGTCAGTACTTTGGAGAAGGTCCCTAACAGCAGACTTTCCCATCGCAATATGTCTTTTAATTTCCTGGCTGCTGGTGCCAAGAGTGTTGCCTGTGGAGACAAGCAAGCCAAAGCTGTTAACAATCTCAACCTCTTCACCATCCATCCTGATGCTGCCAATTGGAACAGTTGTAAGAATTTCTGCTTTCTTGATATTGAGCCTCAATCCATATTGAAGGCTGAAGTCCTTAACCTTCTGCAGCAAGTGCTTTGGGTCCTCCTCAGTTTCAGCAAGCAAGGTTGTGTCATCTGCATAACGCAGATTGTTGATGAATTTGCCACCAATCTTGATGCCACACTTCTCCTCATACAGCCCAGGCTCCTGGATAATCTATTCTGCATATAGGCTGAAAAGGTATGGGGTGCACACCCATGTTTATCACAACTTTGTTCACAATAGCAAAGAGTTGGAAACAACCTAAGTGGCCATCAACAAACAAATGGACAGAGAAGCTATGGTATATTCACACAATGGACTACTACACAGCTTTGAAAAACAAAGAACTCATGAAATACTACACAAAATGGGTGACCCTGGAGGACATTATGCTGAGTGAAATATCTTAGTCACAAAATAATACTGCATACTGCCACTGTTGTAAAATGGGACTGACACTGAGGTTGAGAGGAGACTGAGAAAGATGTGGTAAATTATGTATACTGCCTTGACACAGATGAGGGAGAGAACTATTTAAGAGAGATATATGATTAGGTATTATTGTCATGGCAGGAGTCCAGAATGAAGGTTGTATAGTGGAGTGGACTTGAGGAAAAAGACTGTAACAATGAAAGAATTTTTCTTTTCCTTTTCAAAGAGAAGAGTGAACTGGAGGGGAGGGGTGGACAGGGAGAAAATGCAACAATGAATGAATGGAAATCCAAAGTCTCTGTAAACTTTCATTACAATTAATAATAAGGGGGGGGAATATGCTCTGTTCAGGAAATATGTTAAAAACAATTCTCAGAAGTTGTTATGTGGCAGAGTCTCCTGCAACTTATAACAACCCTATGTACAGCAACTCCAAAGCCTGCTCTGTTCTAAGCCAGTTGCACTGATTCCAACACACCTACCCTCATTTACCCCAGTTACTGTATCAATCCATCTCTTTAGGGGTCTTCCTTCTTAGTGATCCATTTTATGTTAAAGACTCTTCTCCAGCACCACAACTTGAAGGCATCAATTCTTCTGTCACACTTAGTTGCTTCATTGTCCAGCTCTGATGCATAGCAAGTAACTGTGAAGATCATGGCCTGGATTAGGTGTACCTAAGTCTCTAGGCTGACATCAATGCTTTTCAGTACTCTGGAGAAGTCCCTAAATCCACTGCAATTTTTCTTTTGATTTCCTGACTGCTGGTGCCAAGAAAAGAGAAAGGTATTTCAACTACCTCCTCTTAATAACATTTATTTTTGTTAGAATGATGATCACTCTGTGTACTGATGATTTCAAAGTCACTTAATTCAAGCAAAGATTGACAGTGGCTTACCTTAGTTACCATGTAAGATTCACTCAGAAATAGAAAATTACGTAGTGTTGTGGATTAAACTGTGTCCCTTAAAAAAGAAAACCAAAACCAGACAACTCTCAGAACTGATACTCACCCAAAATGTATCCTCCCTTTCGTCACACAGGGAGAGTCTCACGATTGTTTTAAGGCCAGATACACCCAATTTTGTAACCATCATTAAGGGAAAGCCACTGCCTTTTTTACTCAAGTTCCTTGTAATTTTTTATTTTAAAAAAAAAAGGTATGGAGATAAGACACATTCCTGGTGTACACCCTTCCCAATTTTGAACCATGTAGTGTTTCCTTGCTCTGTTCTGACAACTGCCTCTTGGTCCAAGTATAGGTTTCACATTAGCATGATCAAGTGTTCTGGGATTCCCATTCTTCTCACAGCCACAGTTTGTTGTGATCCACACAGTCAAATGCCTTTGCATAATCAATGAAACACAGACATTCCTCTGGTACTCCCTGCTTTCAGCCAAGATCCATCTAACATTAACTACAATATCCCTAGTACCATGGTCCCTTCTCAACCCAGCCTGCACTTACCCAAGTTAATTAACAGCCCCAAATTCCCAGCAAAATAACATCTTCCCTAGTCCTTCCTAAGAGCCCTATAAACGGAAACCCACCCACTAGGGCGCCATTTTGACCTTTTCCAAGCACCATCACTTGGAGACTGCAATAAAAGCCTGTTCATTTCTTGGGATCAGCTTCTTTCTCTCTCTTTTACCCTCAACTCTTTTTCTAACACACGGTACTAGGGACATCATAGCCAATGTCAGATGAATCTTGGCTAAAAGCAGAAAATATGTTCATATTTCATACAGACATAGAAGAACACAGAGAAAACAGAGAATAATGTCTGTATTTCACTGACTATGCAAAGGCATTTTGGTTGCATGGACCACAACAAACTGTGGCTAACACTGAGAAGAAGGGGAATCCCAGAACACCTGATTGTGTTCACAGGAAATCTAGATTTGGACCAGGAAGCAATATTTAAAATAGAAGAAAGAAACACTGAATGGTTCAAAATCAAGAAAGGATTGTCAGGGATGTGTCCTTTCTCCATAATTTCTTAATCTATATGTGGAATAGATTATTCAAGAGGCTGGGCTTTTATGAGGAGGTATGTGGCACCAGGATTGGAAGACGACACAACAACAAACTGGGATACACAACCTTCCTTGCCAAAACTGAGGACCTGAAACATTTACTGCACAAGATCAAATTCTGTAGTCTTCAATATGACTGAAGCTCAACATCAAGAAGATAAATATTCTCACTACTGGACCAATTCACGGCACCACGGTAGATGGAGAAGAGATTGAGGCTGTTAACAACTTCCATTTACTTGGTTCCACAATAAACACTCTTGGCACCAGTATTAAAAGAATGCACTGGGAAAATCTGCTGTCAGGGACCTCTCCTGAGCCATGATATCACTCGAGTGACTAAGGTGCACCTGACCTCTGCTCTCCCAAATCTGCTATCAATTGCTTCGGATATTGCAATCTGTCTGTCTTATTGGCAACTGCAGAAAGGCTGGACAGGTGCCCATTTGGTATCCCGTGCTGCACTAAGGGCCTACAGCACGTGCAAGGCGCTGTCTGAAGGCGCCACTTCGCGGGTGCGAGGACGAGTGTCCTGACGCTGGCGGGCCCCACTGTGGCACTTCAACCGACACCCCGAGTAGGAGATGCTTCTGTCCTCGCGCTGGCCCCTTCCGTGTCCTCCCTCAGTGACCCTCTGCAGGCGGGATGGTCGCCAAGCCCTGGTCAGTCAGCAGGCACAGAGCCCGGACCCCCAATCTGCGCAGCGCCAACCTCCGGCTCGCCCCGCCGCCGCCCAAAGAGTGCGTGGGGCCTCCGCAGACCCTCTCCACTCACATGTTGTTGAAGCGGAACAAGTCATCGCAGGTGAAAGCCCGGAGCGTGGTCATTGCGCCGCCGCCACAAATGCAAGGTTGCTAAACGCACGCCCCACCAGAAGTCACAAAGCTGGGGCTACTGCGAGTGGCAGTCACCAGGGAAAAGAAGGAGACTACTTCCGAGTCATGGGTTGCTCGGCACAGGCAGGGCTAGCCTGTCTTACCGCCACCTAGTGGCCAAATTCTAGAATTGTTAAATGTTTCCTGTAAGTATCACAAACCCTTGTCTTTCCCGCTTGAGCACAACAGGCCATCTGAGCACGCCAGGGCGTAGGGGATCTTCAAGCCTTCCTCTGATGCCTTCTTGAGAGAGAACTTGAGCCAGAACCAGCCACCAGTTTCTGAAGTCTTGACCCACAGAAACCGGGAAAGATACCCTTCAATCCGCTTCTATCTCTGACAAACTCGATATGGCCTGCAATTGAGAAATTTTGATAAATCGAAACTGACAATGGCAGAAGGCAAGAGAAAAATCCACTCCCCTCAGAAGGAATGATCAGGAGAAGTAAACGTGCAAATGTAATGAGCCTGCGCTCAAATATGCAGTGTACATTGCACAGCATTGCCTTTTCATTTTCCTTCTTTTATTTTTATTTTTATTTTCCTTTCATTTAATTTTGTAAAATGCAAAGAGGTCAGATCAAGTTTAAATGACTGTGCTGCCACTTTTCACATCCAAGAATCTAGAACGATTGAAGGTGGCACCTTCCGCTCTCATCAGCCTGTATTGTTGGCAAGGAAGGTTGGTGCAGCACTAAGGGCCTACAGCACGTGCAAGGCACTGTCTGAAGGCGTCACTGCACGAGTGCAAGGACGAGTGTCCTGACGCTGGTGGGCCCCACTGTGGCACTTCAACCGACACCCTGAGTAGGATTTCTTCATGTTGGTGAAGATAGGAACTGGATGAGACGACAATGAATAAGATACAGGATAAAAAGTAAAGATTGTCCAGGATGTCCTGCAAGCATAAGTACCGTTTAATCGGAATGCCAGGATTTTTTTTTTGTTCAAATGATTTTAATTATTGGAATGCACAATTTTTTTAATATGCAAATAAAAAGTTTTAAAACCTGAAAAGAAAAAAAAATAGGTCATCTGATCACCTGAGGAGCTTTGCTGGCTTGTTTGGATGTGCCACACTGAAAAAAGTCCTGCATAAAATGAACACTTTATTGAAATACATGGACTATGTGAGATGAATGGATAAACAGATATTGTGTGTATTGTAATTAGCAACATAGAACAAGATGTGCATGATTGAATGGGAAAACAACTAAGGGAAGGTTTACATACAGAAACAATCTTGAAAGATTGACAGGAATGGGATGGGAGGGATAGGGGAGCAAAATTTGCAGAAGAAAGTCAAAGTATAGGAATTTGATGAGACTTTGTAATGAATATTATTAGCTGCTATCAAGTGGACGATGATTAATACCGACCTATGAATAACAAATAAGAACCTTACCCATCCTGCACCATCCTCAGCATCTGATATGCTCCAGCTCACTGTTACATCACTGTGTCAATCCGTCTTGTTGGGGTTCTTTCTTCTTTCTTTCTCTGACCCTCCACTTCTCCAAGCATGATTTCCTTTTCCAAGGACTGGCCACTCCTGACAACCTGTCCAGAGTATGTGAGACCGAGTTTCACCATCCTTGCCTCTAAGAAGCACCCTAGTTGGAAACACCTTAGTCACACTTCTTCCAAGACAGATTTGTTTGCACATTTGGCAGTCTATGAAGTGTTAAACAAAGTTCTCCAACATCATCATTCAAATATGGATTAATAATATTGTTCAGTAATTTCCACATACTGTTGGATCGCTTTTATTTGGAATGGTAACGAACACGCAACCCTTTCAGTCAGTTGGCCAAATAGCTGTCTCAAATGACACAACCTTCCTTGCTGAAAGTGAAGAGGGTATAAAACCCTTGCTGCCAAAGACCAAAGACTTCAATGTGGATTGCATCTCAACATAAACAGTTTTCTCAGCTTTCTGTGAGGAGAGCTGTCTTGTGACTTCTCTACACAAAAACTGCTTAAGTTGGTGCCCCTGATCTTGCTCTACTCCATAGACAAAGGAATACATTAGGCTTCAGGGGAGAAATCACCCATTACATTCTTCCCTGGAGCCAGCACATTCCAGTTAATGGGGGTGTGGGGGCGGGGAGGGACTGAAACACCCAGGGGAAAGATCATTCCACTTGGGGATCCTTGCTTCCACAACCGCAGGGCCAATCACAGGTGCCAAACAGGACACCTTGAAACCCCCCTGGACAGAAACTGCTCAAGTGGAGCACGGATCTCACAGGACTCAGCTACTCTGTAGACAAAGGAGAACAATGGAGTTTGGGAGAGGAGACTACAAGAAGGTGAAATTCCATTCATTTGTTAATGGGTACTTGGGTTGCTATGGTACCTTCACACAATGGAATATTACACAGCACTAAAAAACAGTGAACTCATAAAACATTCCACAACATAAGGGAGCCTGTAGGAGTTATGCTGAGTTAAATATCTCAGTCACAAAGGGCAAGTACTGCACAACACTGATGTGATAAAATAGGACAGAACTAAGGGGTTTGGGGACAGGGGGGAAAGAGTAAATAGATAGTGAATACTATATTACATCAGAGGAGGGGAAGAATTGTCCAAAAAGAATCTATGATTAGGCATTAAGGTGCATTGTGGGCAGAGCTGGGGGAAGAAAATGTGCAAGAATGGAAAAAAAATCAAAATAAAAATTTTCTATGTTTAAAAGGAGGGGGGGAGCTAGATTCCTGCAGGACTACAGGGCAGACCAGAAAGAACATGAAGGATAGACATTAAGACACATAAATTTTCTTAGAAAGGACTTTCAGTAGAATGAGTGGTACACCCAGTAGATTGAACAGTTAAAGCTGTCAACTAATCAGTGATATCATAAAGAACTACAAACAGCTTCCACAGACACAATACAAATGACCTAACACATAAAAGCAAAACTTCACATGATGTTAAAAAGCAAATTAAGCATTCTCAAAAAAAAAAAAAAAAAAAAGCAGAGAATATTGGAGACCCAATGAATACCCCAGAGTCAGGAAGGCAGAAGCTATATATCGCTAAGGAAGTATTTGAACAGCTATGGAAGAAAGTACAAATGACGGAAGAAACAATGGAGACACAAATAAAAGGAACACCCTAGAGATAGAGAAACAGAAGAAATTTATCAATTAGGAGCAACTTGCACAACTACAAAAGAAAATGCAAAAGAAGGAAGAAAGAATTTAAACTATAGGTAAAGAGGTACAAGAACTTTAAAAAATCATCATAAGACAGAGAAGGTACAGTCAACACATTACTGGAAATAAAATAAATGAATGAAAATTCAATCCAGAATATTAAGACCAAAATGGCAGAAGCACTAACATGTTGGAGAAACAAACAAAAAAAAAGGATAACAGAAGAGATGGAGCAGACAGCCAATGAGTTGGAAGACAAGAACGTACATGGAAACGTAACGGAAGAAAATCAGAGATAAGACATAAAGAAAATATTAAAATCATATGGGATGGCATCAAAAGCAACATCACAGATATGATTGGAATTCCAGAATACAAGGACAGGGAAATCACTGAGAAAATTGTAGAAGTACTAAAAGAAAACTTTGCAGGTATTTTGAAGAACAAGGAAATCCACATTCAAGAAGCTCAGGAACTCCAATCGGACTAGATAGACCCCAAAAGAAAAACATCAAGACATTCTTGTCAAATGCTTCAAAATAAAAGACAAATGCAGAATTCTAAAAGCAGCATAACATCTATGCAGCAAATAATTTTGTTGTTGTTGTTTTATGTGCCACCGTGTTGGCAACAACTCATAGCGACCCTATGTACAACAGCCCTAAACACTACTCTACCTTGTGCCAGTCTCACTCTGACACACCTATTCCCATTACCCTAGTCATGGAATCAATCCATCTCACAGAGGGTCTTCCCCTCCTGTGCTGTCCCTCCATCCTTCCAAGCATAATGTCCCTCCCCAAGTACTGTTCTCTCCTTGTAACATATCCAGAGTATGTCAGATGAAGCTTCAGAATCCTTGCCTCTAAGGAGCAGCCTGGTTTCACCCTCTCTAAGATGAAACTATTCATTCTCTTAGCAGTCTATGGTATATTGAATATTCTTCTCCATCCCCACAGCTCAAAGGCATGAATTCTCTTTCTATCATCCCTAGTTATTGTTCAGATCTCTGATGCATAGCAAGTGATTGCAAAGAACATGGACTGTATTGGTACACCTTAGTCTCCAGACTGACATCATTACTCTTCAGTACTTTGGAGAGGTCTCTAACAGCAGACTTTCCCATTGCAATATGTCTTTTAATTTCCTGGCTGCTGCTGGTACCTAGAGTGTTGACTGTGGAGACAAACAAACTAAAGCTGTTAACAATCTCAATCTCTTCACCATCCATCCTGATGCTGCTAATTGGCTCAGTGGCGAGACTCTTTGTTTTCTTGATATTAAGCCTCAATCCATACTGAAGGCTATAGTCCTTGACCTTCTGCAGCAAGCACTTTAGGTCCTCCTCAGTTTCAGCAAGCAGAGTTGTGTCATCTGTATAATGTAGGTTGTTGATGAACCTTCTTCCAATCCTGAGGCTGGCTACATTTCTCCTCATACAGCCCAGCCTCTCGGATAATCTGTTCTGCATATAGATTGAAAAGGTATGGATCTAGGACACTCCTCTGGTGTACACCCTTCCCAATTTTGAATGATGTAGTGTTTTCTTTCTCTGCCTCCTGGTCCAAGATAAGTTTCCCATTAGCACAATCAAGTGTTCTGGGATTCCCATTTTTCTCAGAGTCAGCCACAGTTTGTTATGATCCACACAGTCAAACACCTTTGCATAATCAATGAAACACAGATAGACATTCCTCTGGTACTCCCTGCTTTCAGCCAAGATCCATCTAACATTAACTACAATATCTCTAGTACCATAACCCCTTCTAAACCCAGCCTG